TATATATATATATGTGTGTGTGTGTGTGTGTGTGTGTCTTTAGTACTTCCTTGGTGGTAAAATGCAAAATTACAACACTGAAGACTGCAAAAACACTATTTTTACTCCCCTTGTGTCGTGCTTTAACATCACTTATCCTCATCATTAACATGGTAACCATTCCTCACCATGACCTGCATCCAACCAAAGATACAGTGCAGGAATGGCTTTGATACTTAAAATAAACTTGATGTTTTTGCATGTGTGTTAATGGAAAACCAGATAATTCATAGTATCGGACCAAGATATTGCTGTCCAGCTGATTTGGATCATTTGGCAATTTTTGCAATTTGTAGCGGTCAAGTGCAATAACCTCATTTTCTGCCAGTATTGTTGTTTGTTAGCTGCCTCAGGCATCTCAATATCATTTAGTTTTTATGTTTCATTGCTTTTATTTTTAGTTTTTGGGCTATCAGACTCAGTACACAAATAAAAATCGTAATTAAAGGTCGTTTCTGCTTCAAGCCATTCCACAGTTGATGCTCTTTGTTTTCCAGCGTAGCGGGGACACATGAAGACTTCTCAGTCCACATTTTAGCTTTATATTTTAAAATGTATTGAGTTGTTGTAGCCATTATCTGTGGTAGTCACCTAAATGGTTGCCATAATTCACAAAAAACATTAACTGAACCAAAAAATGAGAGAACTGCAGTTGCATTAGTCAAATCTACCAGCGACATGGGTTTGTTTTGCCTAACCTCTGACCTTTACCCATGATGCTGTGCATGCAGAACACTATGAAATGCTCTATTGGATTAACTCTAACACATAATCAGTTGTAGATGCACATTCAATGGTTGCAGTGGTTTCATTGAAATCTGTTCACTGGTTTATGAGATGTTTTGCAGACAAGCACAGGCAGAAGTATTATCACTCTTTTTGAGCAGCAGAACAAAGGGGAAAAAATAATGTGATTCAGAACCCAGATCAGTTTTTTTTCTTTATACAAACTAGTATAAATAAACTACATTAAATTTTAAATGTGTTTGCAGCTGGACTTTAAAGTGGCTGTGACTTCCATTTCCATCACTCACAAAATAAAGAAGAAAACATCAAAATTTTTAAAGGATGTGTTATAATAACAATGCTTTTAAAGATTTTGAGACATAAATGGCGTATTTGTTGTTTAACTTGGCACGGCTGAAGTGAAACAGACCGTGACCATAGAAAAAGAACTTCCTGGTTCTGGCTTATATGAACTCTGCCTCTTCTTCGTCTCTTGTTTGACTCAAAATAATGTAAAGAAACATCAGTTTCTTCTCTCCTTTTTATTTTAACAGCGTGCATTTTAGTTTTACAACACATTGATCATCTTTACCGAATAAACACATTTGTTTTTATTACTGTTATTTGATGTCATAAGCACTTTAACTGTTTTATGATCTGAAAAAAACCGTGTGAATGTTTAAATTACAGTTTTGACAAAGCGCCTCTGCTAACAACAACTTTTAAGTTTTTAACGTAAACAATAAAATAAATGCTACTCGATGAATGTTCTGTCAGGTTTGCAGCCACTAATCCTCTGACTCTGCTCTCCTGTCAGGACTAAAGACCGACCTGGATGAGAAGCTTTTCGGACAGCACCTCGCGTCACGCATCATTTTAAGAGCTGTGAGCGGGTTCATGAGCAACGAGAACCCAAAGAAGCCTCTGGTTCTCTCTCTGCACGGATGGACCGGCACCGGGAAGAACTTTGTCAGTAAACTTATTGCCGAAAACGTTTACAAAGAAGGAATGCACAGCAGCTTCGTCCATGTCTTCACGTCCACGCTTCACTTCCCTCACCCCAGTCTAATAGCCACCTACAAGGTAACTCCTCCCACAGATTTGATTCAGACAGGTGTCGGCCCTCAGAGTGACCTGAACTCGTTGATCTTGTCCTTCAGTCCGAGTTACAGCAGTGGATCAAAGGAAACGTTTCCAGCTGTGAACGCTCCATGTTCATCTTCGATGAGATGGACAAGATGCACCCCGGACTGATCGACTGTATCAAGCCGTACCTGGACTACTACGACAAGCTGGATGGAGTTTCATATCGGAAGTCCATCTTCATCTTCCTCAGGTAAACTGCTGTCCTGAGGTTTGCACACGGTTCACTGTAGTTAGTGATTTATTAAAGGTGGAACAGTAAAAACTGCTGGTTGATGCAGACTGTTCCAAGGTTTAAATTCATGGGTGACTCTTGGTGTTTTAAGGTGTGGCCATTTTCATGTGGTTAAGGTTTATTAAAAGCAGAAGCCATCTTAAGTTGATTTGACTCTAAAGGTTAATCAGTTGTAGATTTACTCATGGAGTTTCATTCAAACTCATCCAATGTTTCAGGAGATATTTAGCTAACAGACAAACATGGTTGACTTCAACCGTTTATTGGTGAAGTTTTCAGAAAAACATCAGTTTAAAGCCCATTTCACATTATTACGTTTTTGACAACTTCTGCCAAGGTTTGTAAATTTTGCTCAACATGCTGTCGTACACTGAAGACGAAATAAGAAGCAAAGTCAATTGGAAGCTTCTTTTGAATGTGGACACACTTTGTTGTTGTTGAAGGCCCCGTCACACTAGTTTTGACAACTTATGCCAAACTTACGAAGGTTTTAAAGACCTGTATGTTGAAGATGTAATTTAAAAAATCAACTGGAAGCCTCTTTTAGGCATGTACATAGTGTAATGCTAACAAATTGATCAAATATAAAACTTGTATTAGTACCGTATTTATTTGTGAATAATACGTAAAATTTACTCTATAAAATCATCCATAAAGTTGGGAGGTAGTACTATACTCGGATAAATATTTTTTACTTATGTATTTTAACTGAAATATCGGCAAAATTGTTGAGTTCGGAAACAAGCTTACCTCTGACACTCCTCCGTGCTTCAGAGCGAGATAATAACAGATCCAGGCAGGCGACATGATGTGAAGAAAAGGGGGGAAAAGTAGTCCTACACCTTAGTAATGGTAACAAACTGATGACATTAGCGTGTGACCGGGCCGCTCCTCGAACAACAACAAACACATGTTCGTCTGTAATGGCTGCCGTCTACCAGTGTTCTGAAAAAGTTTGTATCCCTGGAAAACGTTTCCCCACCAGAGGGGGTGCTCGCGAGTAGGAAGTAATCTGCTTTTCCCCCACAAGATGGTCCAAATCTCATGTGAAGTCTCTGACTTTTGTGTTGGCGCCTCCTGGTGGACTATGTGTAAAATGCCAGAATTCATATGATGCTGCTACAGCTGATATATATTTGTTGTCAAAATACATTTTGGTACATATGTTGTTAAAATAAAATGAACAGTACATTGATCATTTTACTGATATGTATAAAGACTGCAAAGGCTGAAAAATCTTGGTCTGTATGAAATTGGAGGTAGTTTGAGGAGTAAATGTTTATACTTTTTAAGCTCAAAAGGGTGGGGGGGGGGTCGTATTATATATGAGATTGTATTATACATGAATAAATACGGTAATTTAGAAATTTTAAAAAATCATAAGTTGTCTAAAATGTTATAGTGACAGGGTCTTGAGTTGAACCAATTTTAAGTAACTTGTCCCTAACTTACACATAACTTACACAAGCATACAACAGCATTTTTGACTTATTCAGTGCTCATGTGCAAAGTTAGTGTAACTTGTGCAACATTCAAGTAATTTATTTCTAACCTTTGACAACTTACTTCTAACATACAGCGGGTAAAATAAGTATTGAACACGTCACCATTTTTCTCAGTAAATATATTACTAGAGGTGCTAATGACATGAAATTTCCACCAGATGTCGGTAACAACCCAAGTGATCCATACATACAAAGAAATCAAACCATAAATGTCCAGAAATGAAGTTACTTGTAATAATGTGGAATGGCACAGGGAAAAAGTATTGAACACATGAAGAAAGGGAGGTGTAAAATGGCATGGAAAGAAAAGACACCAGCTGAACTCTCTCAGTAATTAGAAARCAAGCCTGCCCCTTGTCAGTGCAAGTTAATATCAGCTGGTTCAGTCCCAAATGATGGCCAGGTATCACACAAGAACCATCTGATGATGGGTAAAAGTAAAGAGCTCTCTCAAGACCTTCACAACCTTATTTTGCAAAGCATAATGATGGCATCGGTTACAGAAGAATGTCTAAACTTCTGAAGTTCCAGTGAGCACTGTTGGGGCCATAATTCAGAAGTGGAAAGAACATTATTTCACCATAAACCGACCACGACCAGGTGCTCCTCACAAGATTTCTGACAGAGGAGTGAAAAGAATKATCAGAAGATTTGTCCAAGAGCCAAGGACCACTTGTGGAGAGCTTCAGAAAGACCTGGAATTAGCAGGTACGATTGTTTCAAAGAAAACAATAAGTAATGCACTGAACCACCATGGCCTGTATGCACGCTCACCACGCAAGACTCCACTGCTGAAGAAACAGCAAGTTGAAGCTCCTTTAAAGTTTGCTGCACAACATTTAAACAAGCCTGTGTAATACTGGGAGAATATAGTCTGGTCAGATGAGACCAACATTGAACTGTTTGGATGCCAGAATACACTTCATGTTTGGAGGTCAAATGGCACTGCACATCAGCCCAAAAACACCAGACCAACAGTGAAGTTTGGAGGTGGGAACATCATGGTATGGGGCTGTTTTTCAGCATATGGTACTGGCAAACTTCAAATAATTGAAGGAAGGATGAGTGGAAAAATGTACAGAGACATTCTTGATAAAAATCTGCTTCCATCTACCAGGATGATGAAGATGAAACGTGGCTGGACATTTCAGCAAGACAATGAGCCCAAACACAAAGCCAAGGAAACTCTCAGTTGGTTTCAGAGAAAGAAACTAAAGCTGCTGGAATGGCCCAGCCAATCACCTGACCTGAATCCAACAGAAAATCTATGGAAAGAACTAAAGATCAGAGTTCATAGAAGAGGTCCACGAAACCTTCAAGATTTGAAGACTGTTTGTGTGGAAGAATGGGCCAAAATCACACCTGAGCAATGCATGCCACTAGTTTCTCCATACAGGAGGCGTCTTGAAACTGTCATTGACAACAAAGGCTTTTGTACAAAGTATTAGATAAATTTCAGTAAGTGTGTTCAATACTTTTTCCCTGTGCCATTCCACATTATTACAAATAACTTCATTTCTGGACATTTATGGTTTGATTTAACACAAGACCCAGTGTTAAACTGGTCAGAATTATCAGATTATATATAAGATTTTCTTAATGACACAGAATCTGGATGATTGCAGTTTCTGTAAAAAAACAAACAAAAAACAGAATTCTTTAATTTTTAATTTTTCCTTGAATGTGTCTCAGTAACGCTGGAGGAGAGAGCATCGTGCAGACAACTTTAGATTTCTGGAAAGCAGGACGAATTAGAGAAGAGATGGAGCTGAAAGACGTGGAAACATCACTCTCTCTGTCGGTGTTCAACAACAACAAAAGTGAGCGGTGATCACATCAGTAGTTAATTATCATTAAAAAGCATTATTTCACTTGGCTTCTAAATCTCTTTCAGGCGGCTTTTTTCATACGAGTTTGATCGATAAGAACCTGGTGGACTTCTTCGTGCCGTTCCTGCCTCTGGAGTACCTGCACATCGTCCAGTGCGCCTTGGCCGAGATGAAAGCCAGAAATCTCCCACCGGACATGGACGTGGCAGACCAGGTGGCCAAAGATTTGGTTTATTTCCCTAAATCCGAGCGAGTGTTCTCCGTCAAAGGCTGCAAGACGATAGAGAGCAAGCTGGACTACTACACTTAATGTCTGGTGGACGCCTCTGTCGTTTACTACGTGCACTTTTTAAAAACAAGACTGTTGCAGCCAAATGACTAAAAACCAGGACGTGGAGACGATATCAGGAGGCTTTCTCTGCTCTTGTCTCACACTGGGTGAAGTGGGTGAATAAAAGAAAAGACTCAAATAAATTCCTGAACTTCCTTTTTATCTCCGTAACATCTTAAAGAGAATTGTTTTTATTAATGACCCAACAAGTCCTGTCAAGGATTCTCTTTAGGTCTTCTTTGTATGAATGGACTGTTGAAAACAACTGCCTTAACTGTCCATCAAACATGGTTTTTACTTGATTTATTTTAAAGTATGTCTGCTGTTTAATACAAGGCATAAATTCATTTTGATTCAGAGAGTTCAGTGTGATTCTACAACGATTATTGACGCATCTGTAGTTATGCTTCTATGGAAGAATGTTGCATTCACCCAAAAACACCTCCTGATCTCATAATTATGAGAAAAGTTGAGCCATAGCTGACTTTTCTACAGGAAAAGTGAACAATGACTGCACTTAGATTTGATTTGCTTTTATTTGCTTTTAGGTATTAGACACTAGTATCATTGCTGTTTTACATCAGGTTCCTGTTCTGCAGAACATGAAAAGATATCCAACATCTCATCACATTAATATACACTATAGACACAGACATGCTTAATTACAAAACAAAAAAGCAGCTTTTACATGGTAGACATAAATTTGATTGTAAATAAGGTGTTAGCATGAGTCTTCTTTAAAAGTCTCAGTGTTGAGATGTATGTACAGAGATGAGTCCAGTCAGGAAGTAGAGCTTAGCTATGAGTTCCAAGGATTCATTAGTAGTAGACCAGACAGGTAGACAGTACGACATGGTTGAACGTATTATGGCATGAAGAAAAGGGTTGAAAATTAAAGATGTCAATGACCGGTCATTGGCGAACAGGTGTTTTTCCAGGTAACTTCTGTCTGTTTCAGTCCAAGCCAGAAAAATTTAAGCCGTATCCGTTTCCTTTTTCCAAAATAAAAATCTCCCCTCGGGAGTTAAAAACACTCAGAGGCTTGAAGCCTCGATTTGGAACCACCGGCTGGCGTGCCTGGTCCCTGGCTGTGAAGTCTTCCCTAGTTAGCTCATGGGATCAGACTTAAAGCCAAACTGGGTTTTCTCCAGAGAGAATCCCAGCTTTCTTCCTAGGTTGGAATCAGGAAGAAGAGTGTGTCGCTCAAAGCCGTCCGGGTTAGTAAAAGAAACGGACGAACTTTGGTTCCACCCTCAGGCTTAGAGATTAGTCAGAGAAAGAAAGAAAGATTTGCCAGCGGCGCCAGCCCAAGGTTAAAATTCTGTGGCTGTTCAACAACATGATATGATCATCTCTTTTCAGCTTTCAATCTGATAGACTAAGAAAAATCACTGCAAAACATTTATGATGAATAATTAACATTTCTGTTTTATAATCAGTTCTGAACCTTCTGTTAGTCCAGATAAATTAAAGATTTTCTCAGGAAAAATCCACAATTATATTACTGTGTTCACAAAATAATAACAGTGATTTACATAAAAACACAATGAAAACATTACAATCAGATTCTCTGTGATTTTTTTATACCATTATAAATCTTTAAGGCACGATAAAAGAAAAGAAGTAGTTCCACTTTTCCTGACAGTCATTATCATGATTTAACAAATGCATAAACATTCTTAGTTAAACAACAATTGAATCACGGACAGAAGAGATTGTTCTGTCCATTATCTGATTAAGAGAACTGAGGGGTTCTCTTCCACGGTTAGAATGGCCTGTCAAGACCTAAATAGAGTTCAGTTTGTGACAAAGTTCCTGTCCTCTCGTCAGGCCTGTCCGAGGCCTGCTTCGAGGCAGTAAATCTTGTTTCTTCACTCGAGGTGACCCCTACATAAACATACTTTTTTTTGTTTCAGATAGTAGATGAGGCTTGCACATGGTCTTGTCAAATGAAAATCCAAGATAATTCCTACATATTTATAAGTAGTGACAATAGAAAGAGGTTTGTTTAAAAAAAGACAGAGGATTTGATATAATGAAGTGAAAAAATACAGATTTTTTCACATTAATCATCAAAAGATTATCTTGTAGCAGTGGGATTGCTAAAGGTCTGCATGTAGCTGGCTATAGATTTTTTGTTATGTTCAAATAAGATCAAATAGATATTTGAGCAAGACAAAAAAGAACTGCATCATCAGTATACATTAAAGGGGCTATATCATGTAAAATCAACTATTTTTGAGTTTTATATCATGTTCTGTTATCCTCTCATCAAAAACACACAGTCTTGCCTTGACTCATTCATACATGTTTGAGAAATCCTGTAGTGTCCTCAGGCAATGTGCAGGTCGATACTGAAATATCAATACTACCAATACCAGAAGTTTGTGTTCTAGAATCGATACTAAAATCAAAATATTGATACTTTAGTTATTTCACATAATGTATATCATTAACAGGAAAATAGTGGAAAATAACAAATCTATTCCAATCTTGTCTTAAACATGTGGTTGGAGGGATCTACTTTTCCTTCCACTTGGGTAATACAGTACATCAACACAGTGGCACGTGCTCAGTCAGTCACTCAGTCTGTACATGTATGGCAGGTAATTTTAACATAAAATCTGCTTCTTCTGACTGTCTGTAATTAAATTCTAGATGAGGGGTTCCCAAACTTTTTCATGCTATGGCCCCCCCAAACAGCATTAGCTCTGACCAGGGACCTTCTTGCAAACCCACAAACAAAGCTACAAAATATACAAAGTAACATACCTAAATATTTAGGTTTCAACTTAAATATTTAGCTTGCAACTTAAATATTTAGCTAACTACCTAAATATTTAAGTTGCAACCTAAATATTTAGGTAGGTAGCTGAATATTTAAGTTAAAAATTTACATGGTTAGCTAAATATTTAAGTTGCAACCTAAATATTTAGGTAGTTGGCTAAATATTTAAGTTGCAACCTAAATATTTAGGTAG